ATGGTACTGTAGAGGTTCCATCACTACAGTAATTGTTAATGTCCCTCAAAAGTGTGAGAGATTCTGTTTGAAAAATGCAATTTACGGGTTCCTTGGTTTTTCTGACCACTCATATAATCTAAATACAGGTAATGGTGACCATTTTTTTATCAGCAGAATCAACTGCTGAGTTAGAGCCCAGGATAGTTGAGTTAGTGGGTGGGTAAAGCTTTTTAATTGTAATTATAATTATGCAAATTTAAATCCGTGCAACTCAAAACATTGGTAAGTTCCAACAATAAGCAGTATTTCAAAACATCTAAATTCTTTCTCCAAACTTTAAAACACTAAAAATAACATACTCCCAGAGCTGACAAAGATGAAAATTAAGCATGTTCATGGTATTTCCACAGGTTTTGCTTGGTTCCCCACCAATGAGAGACTTGGTCTTAATTGGGCACTGTCTTTAGGAAGTCATCTCATACAAGGAGCGGGAAACTCCTTTCTGGATGACACAGACTGTAATACCATAAGCTTGGCCTGTGGTCATTGAGACTTAGATCAAAATCAATCTGTATGTACCATCTCCATGTAAATATAAATCACCTTTCAATAGAAAATAAATAACTCCATAGACTCCTAAGTACTTTAAATCCTATCTGATAGTCTTGACATAGAATGTTAGTGTGAACAAATTCCTCTCAGTGGCCCAGACATTTTTATACAGCACACCAAATGCTTTTATAAGTACCTGAACTTATTATAGACTATGGATTCATGTCAGAGGGGTGGGGAGGGGATAGAGTGAGAGAAAGAAAAGATTTTTTTTAAGGGCTAGAAGGATGGCTAAGCAGTTAAGATCACTTGGCTACTCTTCCTAGATCAGGTTTGGTTCCCAGTACCCACATGACAGTCCACAAACATCTGTAACTCCATTTCCAGAGAATCTGGTACTCTCTTATGGCCTCTGCAGACACCAGGCACACATGTGGTACACAGACATCCAGGCAGGCAAAACTTACCCATACACACAAAATAACAAAAATAATTTTTAATGACTTGGAATTTTAAGTTTTCTGTTCCTGCCACCCATCTCCTTCTTGCACAGTACCCAACTCAACCCAATCTTTATTTACCCCAATTTAGAAGCTTCCTGAATGGGGATAAGGAACCATTTCTTAATGGCATACCAGCCAGAAAAAGATGCAGTAGAAGTCAAATGTGTTATCTTGCACAGAGAAAACTGGGGCTCTGAATTTAGTTCGAGAGTCCAGGTCAGCTGGACCATGCTGAACTCCTGCCCATTTCCTGAGCTCATATTCTTGTTGGATAGGAGAAAATGCTAAGGTTGAGGTATGTGACAAGTATGTCACATCTTCTTGCTTAAAACAACTTAGAATCTAATAGAAGTCTCCTTCAGATACAGAAGAAAATTTTAAATGATTGCAATTAACTAAGGAATTAACCAACTTTCTCCCCAAACCAAAAGAGGAATAATCCAGATAGTCTCAGCAATATACATATAAATGTTTTCCTAAATAATAGTTTCATTTTTTCCAGTGTAAATCTGAGTAACTCTTGGGAGAGGAATAGGCAGGCAAACAACCAACAGTTTCAGCTGAGAAAGACACAGCTTTGCAAGGAAGTTAAATTAATTTCTTATAGGCATAAAGGAGGAGGCAGTGATTTGAGCAAATCTAGACCAGCTACAGATAAAAGAAATTCCCAAAGTGTTTCATTCGTGTCACTAATAAAAATGTTTGACTTGCAAAAATCTAGTTCATCCTGTGTGGCAATAGTTTACAGATTCTATTTTGTTAATTTTTCTAGAGAATTTCCTAAATATGTTATGCCCAAAATGTGGTTTAGAAAATAAAGTGTGAGTAGGGAAATTAAAGAATGAGAGAAAGAGCAGATGGAATGAAAGAAGGGATATATCCTACAGTGTTTTACCAGGGAAGGTTTGTCCAATCAATCAATATAAAAGAGCAATAAAATGGAATATAATTTCCTCAGATGTAGAAATTAGCTTGAAAAGCCATCTGGGTATTTATCTCTGTGAGGATCATAAAATAATAAACTAATGCATGAGTGTTTCAATGTGGTTAAATAAGGTCCATTTTGTACATGTTCATTGATGAGCTTCAGGGATCCATGGACATCACGAAGTTGCCTAGAAACATCTTTGTCTAGACATGCACTTCCTTTTGTAGAGCAAGAGTTTCTCATGTTCACCACATTCATGCAAGTATTCTATAAAATTTGCTTCACCAACAAACTAACACTCGTACCTTAGCACATCACTTTTTATTCAGTATACTTTCCTCCCTCAGATTCAAAATCAATGTGCACGTTTGTGTCCAGAAAAAAAAAAAAAAAAAAAAAAAAAAAAAAAAAAGCTTTACGTTGCCAGATCTTGGCAAGTTCTATTTGTGTTAAGCATAGTATTTCTAAGCATAACAAGGGTCTCTGCCATAAGAAATTCAAGATGCTTTTATTTTAAATATTAAATATTTTAACCACTAGGCAAACCTTGTTATTTGTCATCAAAGGAGTGAGAATTTGCAGATATAGATATATAAAATGTTTATGAAAAGGGAGACAATATTTCTGTTCCACCCATTATTTTAGCACTGAATTTAACTGAATTATTCAATAACCAATTTTATTCCAAATGTGGGAAATATTACCATCCTGAACATATTTCTGTATTTCCAGCAATTATAACATTGATATATTGACAAATATGTTTTCAGGAAATACTTGAAACTCATTACATTCAAATTAGTCCATAAAAACTGATCCTGCATAACTGGCTATCCTTTTGGGAAAATGATTACCAGTTTTCTTCACTGCTTTCCACTAGGCTTTAAAACACTGGAACATTCTAGATGCCCAGTCTAGAACCACTCCCTCCATAATGACACTGAGTGGATATTAAAGGAAAGTTCACGTAGTAAGTTACTTTGATTTGAAGTCACACTGACAGAAGCTTTGCTCAAGAGTGAGAATTTAGAGATTTCCACTAATTATTTTCCTTCCCATATTTGGGGTTGAACCCAGAGCCTTGTGGTTGCTAGGCAAGTGGTATATCACTAGGCTGCATCGCCAGACCAGAATGAGTCTAGATCTATCCTCGGAGGCTGTGTTTCTCAATATACATTATTGTATAAATCCCCCACATAGTGTTTTATGACATCAAATTCTCCCCAAAAGAGGTATGCTACATAAGGTCTCCAGTTCAACTTTTCTCTTCCAAATATCTTTTAAGAACTTGCTTAATAGTCACAGCAAGTAGCACTGGTAAGGCTCTTCCTTCACAGACATCCAAACAGACTTCGTAAGAAATGTGGTGTCACATGTAAGTGAAACAAGCCTGTTCCCTAACTTGAATCAATAATTAAAAAAGGGAAAAGAAAAAAAGCAAAAAAATGAATATATTGAAACTATAAAAAAAATAAAAGAAAAGAAATGTGGTGTCAGGGTTGGAGGGGGCTCCTGGAAACCAGAGCCACGGGGTGTTTCACTGTCCTCTTCTTAGAGCTGTCCTGTCCTTAGATTTTCAAGAATAATCCTCAAAGTCTTCCCATCTACCAAAAACTGCTTGCACACAGGCTTCATCCCTCTCCCATTTATCATTACAGCATGCAAAGAACTCACAGCCCCCCCCCCCGACCTTAACCAATAGTCATTCTTTTCTCTACAGATTTTTATGGAGATGTAAAACAATACCTATTAATATGCAACCAGTATTTTGGATTCTTCCTTTAAGATTAAAATCAAACTATGAAAAAAATCCATCTTCTGTAACTTAGTGTTGATAAGACCCTGTGAGACTGGTGCACTCAGATTTTAGAAGGAAAACAAGTCATACAAGTCCAATAAAATCTCCTACCAATCGAGCAAAAACCAAATCCCAAACTATTACTTGTCACTGGGAAGCAGTTTCCTGACACAAGATAAAATGACAGCCAAAGGTCAAACAGAAAAGTCAGATGATCAAAGCTTTGAACTTATCTTTGTTTTGTTTTACATAAATTCATATATACAGAGGTGGCACAAAATTTCAATTATGTCTGTTGTAAAAACACTTTTGGACCGATCATAAAAGCAACTCATTTTAATGTTGTTCAGTTTAACCCAGTGCAATACCAAATTGAACAAAAATAAGTTATTCAATGATGCTTAAAACATCACTTTAAAAAAATTGAATCTGGAGCTCATTGTTTCTCTCATGGACATTGGTTTTCAATGCTTCTCTTTAATATGTTAGATTGAATCACACATACAATGCTGATATTTCAGAAATTTTTAGATGAAAATTACAGTGTCTTGTGACTTGAAATAATTGCCTAAATGTGTTAGGAAACAACTCTGAATCCCCTTAATTCAACTGAATGCAACAGATGTGTAGAGAGTGTCATCATGCACACATGGCACTTAACTCAATAGTGCAGGATGCAATTATACAGAAAACCATCTCACCAAAATGGTGACTTCTATGATGCTGGTGTTGCTGGGAGCTGCTGTTTAGCCAATCAGCTATGGTTCGAACACACAGACCCATATTGCAGCCAGCAGTAGATGAAAAAAAAAAAAACCTACTGGCTTCTTTTTAATGATAAGAGTTTTTTAAAAACACTTCTTTGGTAACCAACTGGAAATTTTTAACTTCCAATTTTTTACAAAGAAAACTGAACTACTAGATAAGATGCTTCTTACAATCAGAATATGGCTTCCAACATTTTAACTAATGGCCCAGTCTTTCTCTGTTAGCCACTCCCTTCTTCATGTATACTAGTTGTGGGGTTTGGGCAGGTCATGTGGACTTTCTGGGGGTAGAAATTCTACTAATGAGTTTTCTACAAATGTCACTCAGTATTTTATTCCTTCATATCTCATTACCTCCCCCATGCTCAGTAATTTTAGTTTGTGCTTTTTTTTTCTCTTTTTGTTTATTTGGTTTGCTGGCTTTGTGTTCTTTTCTCCTTTTTTCCTTTTCTTTTCCTTTTTTAATGCAGGAATCGGCCAAGGGGTTCCAGTGGTGGCACTCATAGTGGAAGGAGGACCCAACGTGATCTCCATTGTTTTGGAGTACCTTCGTGACACTCCTCCTGTACCAGTCGTGGTCTGTGATGGGAGTGGACGGGCATCCGACATCCTGGCATTTGGGCATAAATATTCAGAAGAAGGCGGGTAGGTAAATTACCAGGGCCCATGGTAGAGTCCTGAGTACAAAGCTTGTGTTTAAAGCTTGGAAAAGAGCGCATCACAACATGTTCTCTGCAGTTCAGGCAAGACCTTACATCCTAACTAGCTTTGAACAATTATCTAAATATTGACTGTGGGATGGTGGAGAGGAAGAACAGCGGACATCATCTAAAATGCATCTTCAGTAGGAAATCCATGATTACTCCATTCAGACCACATAAAGAGGGGAAGAAAGGAAGTTAAAGGATGTGTTATTTTATCTTCACTTCTCCTTCCCTCTTCTCCCTCAAGAAAGGAGAGGCAGGCACTGAGTTATGATAAATGAAGCAAACAGAATCTGAATAACTGTGCAGGGTGGCCTCTGAAAGAAGCTGGGTACCTTTGGGCATGAGTCTAAATACCATCATGGCCAAGCTGCTGTAAACACATTTGGAAGACTGTGTGAGCAGGTATTTCTCTATTGTCCTAGAAGGTAAAACCTCTATAATTGCTAACAGCTCTGGTCCTTTGTGAATTGCTCCCAGAACTCCTCTCCCCTATATATTTTGCTTGGACTACCAGCTCTTAAATTCTACCCTCTAAAGTCCAAAGTTCCAACCTCCCTGGGAGGAGGTCTCTCCACCAGTGGCATAGTAAGGTCTAAGCACTCTTGAAGATCATGAGAGTAATGGAAGGCTGGTGGCTTCTAACCCAGCACTGAACGTCACGACAGTGATCTGATTCCTAGAGATTTGATAGTTCTAGAAACATCCTCTTTGAAGTTATAGCTTACTCACTGATAAATTTAATTAAATTACCATCAGTATATTCTTTGGGATGAAATACTAATCCATTTTATTACTGAGGACCTAAAAAGAGGACATTTCCCCAGTGATCTTTATATTATCTAACAAAACAATGTTCCATAACCTTAATTTGTTTTAATTAAAATTCTTGTTATAGTCCTCATTTCTTTAAATACATAAATATGTTCCTTTCATATGAAAATAGTTAGCCCTTAGCTTTTGATTGTTTGTTGATCCACTGTTCTTGCTGTTTTTGTCATATATCCACAAAACAGATACAAGGCTGGATTTGGAGTGCAGATTTCCTTTCCCTTCCTACAAGAGAGAGAGAGAGAGAGAGGGAGAGAGAGAGAGAGAGAGAGAGAGAGAGAGAGAGAGAGAGCATTCTCCAGCATCTCTGGCTATCTGGATCTATCTCAGTGACAGCCAGAGTCTACTATCTATTATTTATCATTATTTTAAGTTTTTGAACATAATAAAATCTCTCATAAAGATGTCTTTGATTATTTCTGTTTAAATATTTGAGAAGAAAGAGTTAAGCATTTTAGAGTTGGAAGGGGCAGTGGGTAATTTCATATAGTGGACAAGAAGTTAAATGATTTGTCCAAATCTTCACAGCCCATGAGCTCTGACTAGCAATCCATCTGGGTTATTAGAAAAATGCATTGGAGTATGCTGCATGGTGCATCTTTCTGTCCTACTTAAGAAGAGCCTCAGTGACTCCTTTAAACTTTTAAGTGCATGAAAATAACTCATCTTATTTCAATAATTATATTTAAAATTTTAAATTATATGTTTCTTAGCATACAAAATAGTGCATTCTTGTTTATGATCTTGTGTTCAATTTATGATTCCTTTCTCAACCTCACCTAGACCATCACACACACATCCCCATTCTCACCTAGACCATCACACACCCATCCCCAAATTAAGACTCAAAGGGACCGAGCACTTCTAACTTCACTTGGAATTCTTAGTTCTAACTATTTAATAGTCTAAAAATGTAAAATTCCCAATCTGTATAGCATCTACATAAACATGTGAACCATGGGCAGTTATCAAAGAATTTGAATTCACCCACATAATTAATACAGAGGCAAAAATTAAATATTATCTATTTCAGGGGGTCTATAAAGCTTTAAAATTGTTCCAAGATACTTACAATATTTAAAATAAATAGAAACCTGAAGGCAGTCTTGTGTACATGTTTGTCATTACATGTAGTCACACACAGAGAGATGCTATGCATAGTGCTATGATGAAAGCCTACATTCTTAAGAAAGCAATGTAAATTTATCATGATGAAATGAAGTCATAATGTTTCTGTGTGTCACTTGAATAACTTTCAAAGTTAGTCATGCCTATTTAGCTTGAAAAGAAATTGTTTAACCACACATTTGCATGCAATTTAAAGTCATTTCTGAAGAACATTATTCTGTAGCAGTGCACTTTCTTTACGTGTACAAAAGGGAAGGATGGAAGAAGGAAGGAAGGAAGGAAGGAAGGAAGGAAGGAAGGAAGGAAGGAAGGAAAGAAGGAAAGAAGGAAAGAAGGAAAGAAGGAAAGAAGGAAAGAAGGAAAGAAGGAAAGAAGGAAAGAAGGAAAGAAGGAAAGAAGGAAAGAAGGAAAGAAGGAAAGAAGGAAAGAAGGAAAGAAGGAAAGAAGGAAAGAAGGAAAGAAGGAAAGAAGGAAAGAAGGAAAGAAGGAAAGAAGGAAAGAAGGAAAGAAGGAAAGAAGGAAAGAAGGAAAGAAGGAAAGAAGGAAAGAAGGAAGGAAGCAAGGTAGAGATGAAGGAAGGAAGAAAATGCATTGGTCCAGCTAGCCTTCATTCCCCAAGAAGGAGTTGTTCTTTGATTTTTCAGAATCCAATGGAATTGAACATTCTACTACATACATATGTACATACACATTTATATAAACAAGCCTATATAAGTAAATGCATTGCTGTCCAAAGAAAATTAGACATAGGGAACATACACATCCTAATTACAAAGCTTTTGTTTCAGACTACATTAATATTTTTACTGATTTGTTATATTGGGGGATTTATTTAAATGCTTAAAGTTCATTTCATTTATGGGTTGTTAAGTTATATCACTCTAAGGACTGTGAGAATGTGCATTCAACTATGTAGCTTTACATTTTAAAATCTTACTTGGATGACCTTTTTTCTCCTTACATTGTGACCTTTCTAGCTTGTCATTGAGTTCCTTTCCGAGAACATGAATTGGAAAGAGAATATGAATTGGAAAAGAATCTCTTTGGAAGTGAATTATAATTGGCAAAACTGATTATCTCCCCTGAATGAGATTGCTTGAGATAGAAACAGACAGACTGTGTCTATCACAGCACAAATGGGTTTGGATATACTTAGGAGACAATCACAATTAAATGCTTATTCAGTGTGTGGTGCTGAGGATCAAATTAAATTCTACATTTTGTCTTTTTCCTCCCTGTCTCTTCTGTGATATGTGGTACCTGGAAGAAATGGCCAAAGTCTATATTGCCCTTATTGTCATAATGGGCTTTCTGTTTACCTGTCATAGTTCAGAGTGAATCAGTAAGCACTTTCCATAATTAATTCCATTGCTCTAGAAATATTATCAAAGCTTTCTTCTTAATGGCAAATGACTAAACCCCATAAACACAAATATTAATACTGCCACAAATTGTTAGGTTTAATTACCTAGGGTTAAATACAGAGACGTTGCTTTCTGATGTCTGACTAAGCAGATGAACAGCATTGCCTGGTGCCTGGAACACCTTTCAGGGAGCAGCTTCCTGATGCTGAAATCAGACATGCCTTTGCCGGATCACTATCTCAGGCTTTGGAGAATTGGGACCTCACCCCTTCATTTGTCACACATGGAACAACTACCTGACAATGAACAGTGTCAACATGAGAATGTCATCTGAGTCCATGTGTGGTCTGAGTCAGTGCCCCTTGTCCATCACATTTTATTACCAATGCTTATAGTTACTGTGGGGTTTTTGTCCAAATCTTATCACTTGGATCTACCACATTTTAGATACTCTGTAAAACAGGCAGAACCAACTAGTGTCCAAAAACAAAAACATGTCTTAAAAGATTTTTAATAATTTGTTTGTGATTATTAGGAGATTAGCAGTGAGGTGTATACCATTCATATTCTAATATTCTGGTGGCATTTTAATTAGGGGTTGACTGTGAAGAACATGTGAGCAGTCCTTTCTTTTTTTTTTTTTTTTTTTGAGACAGGGTTTCTCTACGTAGCCTTAGCCATCCTGGAACTCCCTCTATAAACCAGGCTAGCCTTGAATTCACAGATATCTGCCTGCCTCTGCCTCTGCCTCCCAAATGCTGGAATTAGAGGCATGTGCCGCCGCCACCTGGCCATGAGCAGCAGTCTTACTCTTGGGAGTAGAAGAAGAAGAAAAATAAGTGTGTGTTTTGTGGTATGAGGTGTGTGGATGGATAAGATAAGTGGGTGTGGTGGGGAGTGAGGGGTGTGAGGAGGTATGTGTGGTGTGTATGTGTGTATGTGTATGTGCTAAAAATATTCTGAGACTTTCATGCTTAAAACGAATTTAATAAGAATTCTCATGGGTTCTTTTGTTTGTTTTTGTTTTCCTTGATATTAACCATTGTTCTTTATTGAAAATAGATTTTTTTTGATGAGCTAGGGTGAAGGCATGAGAACATTAACCAGCTATGAAAAGGGAAAACTATATTGCATGGTTTCCAATTTATGACTGCAGATTTCAAAAAGAATGCTTGTTTCTCTCCAAATACATATCATAGGTCCAAAGACAAGAGAAAGTCATCAGAAAATCTGGCATATTAGGAACTCAGTTGGTATTCCCTGGGGCATGTCATTCTGTGAAGTGATCACAAGTGTTTACTCCTGCTGCTCCAGAGATTCAGCTCACACTGAAGAATGTCAAAGCCCTATCATTTTTCTATATTACTTTCTACAGAAAGTAATTGACCTGGATGGCCTGCACCCCAGCATGATATAGACATAATTGGAATGTCAAGTAAGAAAGAAAGAAGCCGATGTCAACCAAGCTTATTTCAAGTATACATTTTAGTTTTTGTTAATTTCCTCTGCCTCATCTCTTTTCTAGAACTTTCTGTAAGAAATGTCAAACTGATTCTTTCTCACTTTTCTTGAAAGAAATTGTGGAAACATCATAGACAAAGAATAGAAGTGGTTTTAC